CACTATTTAAATCAATATTATACAGCCCAGAAATGGAATCAGAATTAGAATTAGAATAACTACAAACTTGGAATCCAACTCAGTCAAGATTACAATCATGCCTATAGGTTCTTATATCTGTTTCAAACCATACCAGTCTTTATTCCTAAGAAGTTCTTCAAAGAATTAAACAAACACATATCTGTGTTCATCTAGAATAAAAACATCCCGAGGATTAGAAAGGAATAGTAGAGAGACAGAAAGAGGATGGTGGACTAATTTCCAAGCTCCTCCGTCTCATAAGCATTGGGTAGAAGATGTTATGTTCCATCTGAATCTTGAACATTTGAAACATACAGTCAGCGACTCCTTTCAACAATACAATATCACCTGCCAACCATTTTTTTGTTATGATTCATGTCCTGTCCATGCTGTGTTAAGCACTCATTAAGTTCACCTGCCACGCCTGACAGTCTGGCCACTCTCCTCTGATCTCTGACATCAACAAGGCATTTGTACCCACAGAACTGCCGCTCACTGGATATTTTCTCTTTTTGTGACCATTCTCTGTAAACCATAGAGATGGTTATGCATGAAAATCTCAGCAGATCAGCATTTTCTGAAATGCTCAGATCAGCCCGTCTGGCACCAACAACCATGCCACGTTCAAAGTCACTTAAATGACCACCTCCCACCCCAAGATAAACCAATGCCCCCCTGCTAAACTCCTCTGGAACCAGGGCTGGATAAAAAGTATACTTATGGTCAGAAGGAATTATTTTGTCTTTGTTTTGGCTGTATTCCAATTTTATAGTCAGAGTGTACAATTAAACCAATAAAATAATGTAATGTTTTTTTAAGTTTTACATACTTGGTATTTTTTTAGGTCTTCCTCATTTTTCTGCTGGGATTTTCCGTTGTTGGGGTAGAGATACTTTCATCGCTCTCAGAGGACTCATGCTTATAACAGGGAGACACACTGAGGCACGGTATGTGTGTAATCTGGACTAATTTATATAGGAGTCATTCAACTGAACATCATAGCAAACAATTTTGTCTTGGACATCATCCTAGCAACATCATCCTGGCTTTTGCTGGAACCTTGCGTCACGGTTTGATCCCCAACTTGCTGGGAGAGGGTCGCAATGCCAGATACAACTGCAGGGATGCTGTGTGGTGGTGGCTGCAGTGCATTCAGGTACATGAGATGTGGTGATCCAATTTACTGAACCTCTCAAACATTTTTAATCCAAAATGCTCAAAGGACTATGCTTCTGTCTTCATAAATCAAGAAACAAAGGTGATTTATTTATTTTGCACGTTATAGCAGTATAAAATAAGACATGAACAAGGAATGCAAAAGACATGTTTTTGTACCACAATAATCTTAACATACTCAAAAAGGAGTAGGAAAAAATAAAGTGATGATGCTGTGAAACAATTGCTTCAGACATCATTTTATAACACAAGGTTTTTTGTTAGTAAGTATTGAAACAAAAAACTCCTAAACACACTTTCATAGGATTTCTATACTCTGCGAGTAAATGTGGTAAATAACTTTAATTTGAGTGTTAATAAAGTAAATGCTCAAGAACAGGGGTGCCCAAGTCCAGTCCTCGAGAGCTACCATCCTGCAACTTTCAGATGCATCCCTGCTTCAACACACATGAATCAAATGAATGGCTCGTTATCAGGCCTCTGTAGAGCTGATCCTGGTCTGTTGGAGTAAGGATACTTCTAAAACTTGCAGGATGGTAGCTCTCGAGGACTGGACTTGGGCACCCCTGCTCAAGAATATATTTTTTTAAAGTTAGCTGTCTGTTTTTCTCTGAAGGACTATACCAATCTCGTTCCTGAGGGACATGAAATTCTGCGTTGCCCTGTCACCCGCATGTACCCCACAGATGACTGTGAGCCCTGCAAACCAGGGGAGGTGGTATGTACACACAGTGAAAAATTATTTGTTCTAATTCTGGTCTCCTTGATGGCTGTCACCGTTTTACCTCCACTAGTGGTTTTATACATTGCAGTCGCACATGATGTTTAGATTCAGGTATGAAGAATCATATATTTGAGTTTGTGCCTGTGCAGGAGCAGCCATTGTATGATGTCATCCAGGAGGCACTGCAGCGCCATCTGGAGGGTATTTCTTTCAGAGAGAGAAATGCTGGACCCAAGATAGACAGGAACATGAGAGATGAAGGTAATGTAAGAGCAGTAAGACTAAAGAGATCATTTACTACAGTAAAGCAGTTTTGTATGTTTGTTTGACGTCCGCACGGCTTCGAAGAGATTCTGGTCCACCATCCGGCATCTCAGGAGGGGGAAGCAGTGCAGCACCAACACTGTTTATAGTGGGGATGGTGTGCTGCTGACTTCGACTCAGGATGTTGCGGGCCGGTGGGCAGAGTACTTTGAAGACCTCCTCAATCCCACCAACATACCTTCCATTGAGGAAACTGAGCCTGGGGACTCTGGGTTGGGCTCTCCAATCTCTGGGGATGAGGTTGCCGAGGTGGTTAAAAAGCTCATCAGTGACAGGGCCGGGGGGTGGATGAGATTCGTCCTGGGTTCCTTAAGGCTCTGGATGTTGTAGGGTTGTGTTGGCTGACGCGACTCTGCAATATTGCATGGACATCAGGGGCAGTTACCCTGGAATGGCAGACTGGGATGGTGGCCCCCCTGTTCATAAAGAGGGACCAGAGGGTGTGCTCCAATTACAGGGGGGTCACACTCTTAAGCCTCCCTGGTAAGGTCTATTCAGGGGTCCCGGAGAGGAGGGTCCATCAGATAGTCGAACCTCGGATTCAGGAAGAGCAGTGTGGTTTTCGTCCTGGTCGTGGAACACTGGACCAGCTCTACACCCTCAGCAGGGTCCTGGAGGGTTCTGGGAGTTCACCCAACCGGTCTACATGTGTTTTGTGGACTTGGAGAAGGCGTTTGACCGTGTCCCTAGGGGGGCTTTGTGGGGGGTTCTCCGGGAGTATGGGGTACCGGGCCCTTTGATACGGGCTGTCAGGTCCCTGTACGACCGGTGTCAGAGTCTGGTCCGCATTGCCGGCAGTAAGTCGGGTTTGTTTCCGGTGAGAGTTGGACTCCGCCAAGGCTGCCCTTTGTCACCGATTCTGTTCATTACTTTCATGGACAGAATTTCTAGGCTGCAAAATTCTGTCCACGGTGTTGAGGGGATCCGTTTTGGTGGCCTTAGGGTCACATCTCTGCTTTTTGCAGATGATGTGGTCCTGTTGGTTTCTTCAGGTCGTGATCTGCAGTTCGCAGTCAAGTGTGAAGTGGTCAGGATGGGGATAAGTGCTTCCAAGGCCGAGGCCATGGTCTTGAGTTATAAAATCAGGTTTTCAAAAAAAAAAAAGAGAGGGAGAGAGAGAAAAAGGCAAGACTGTTAATTTATACCCAGGTTTTCTCCGAGAGGTGGGTAGACTGTGTGAGATTATCAACCATTTAGCATAGTTAGCTTAGCTACAGACTACTGTTTGCCTCCTTTTCACTAGCATTTAATTAAGGACAAAAATTATCAACATGTTCATATATTTAACTTTTCCCTTGTACCTTTTACCACTTAACAAAAGATGAGTCAGTCAGCAGCAGCTCTAACCCACGTCCCTCCTGACCCGTTCTCTCCTGAGTTAAATTAAAGCTGCAGTATGTAACTTATATATAAATATTTTTTTCACATATTTTTTTAAAACTGTCATTATCTTGTGACAGTAATCTATTTCCTCTGCCTTCTCCCAGTGTATCATAAACAGTGATACCCTTTTACAGGAGAAGCACTAAAATGTACAAAAGACCAGATGCAAACTAATTTTTCTCCATACATGTTCTGCTACATGATGGTGCAGAATTGTGTTCATGGTTAGTAATGGTTAGACACATGCTTTCTCCATAATGCAATATTTTATATCTGTCTAATCACATTTACTTATAAAGTATATGAACATTAATCTTGTTGCGTTGTAAAAAGTATTTGCTGTAAATCCGTGATTACACTGAAGACTGCCAGTCATAATGATTGACGGCTGCTATCGATCACCACTGTAACCTCCGTTAAGTTATACAATAAAATGACAAGTTTGGGTAAACAAAATAATTAGCTCCATTATCCGCACACTAGCGGATTAGCAGAAGTGTGCCCACCACTGCAAACTCTTAACTAGCACTATGGATATGATCATTTTTTATGTACTTAGTATCAACTTTCACTTGTATGTTTACATAAGTGAATTGGTTAGAAGTTAATTGATTTAATATTGTATTTGTTGGATTGCAGTTACCTGCATATGAATTGGACTGTTTGAGTGCTGAGTGCCTTGAAATCTGTTGAAGATCTGTTGTAAATTGACAGAAATTAACTGCAGCTTTCTGTCCTTTTAAGGGTTCAATGTGGTTGTTAAAGTGGACCCAGCAACAGGTTTTGTTACCGGAGGAAACCGCTTCAACTGTGGCACTTGGATGGATAAAATGGGAGAGAGTGACAGAGCGAGGAATAAGGGGATGCCTGCAACTCCTAGGTACTTCATCCAGATGCATGTCTTAAGTCACATAGAGCTCATTTGTCTGATTTCTGATAGGTTCCATTTGATGGCAGATTTTGAACCTAAGAGCCTTTGAAATTATCAACAAAAAGCCGGTGATTCAAACAACAGTGTTCACCTGTGTTGTCTTTAGTCCCTGTTACGTCATTTACTGATTTTCTGTTCCAACATATCCTGGCCCAGTGTCTCATTTTATGGCAGTTGTGACACACAGTTTTCTTTGCAGGGCACATATTTCTAGAATGCTGTGCTTTTCCAGATTTGTACATTTGTTTTCATTTCCTTGCTGCTTACTGTGTTGTGGTTTCCAATGCATGCATCTATTCTTATGGTGGACCTCCTCCACTGATCTCTCCTTGTCGCCCTGTTGGCTCACCTGAGCAGTCACCTGTTTACATTGTCTGACGGTCATTTGAGCCAAAGACAAACTCGCTGATGGCGGGAGAGTTCTTTATCCTGTGTCCCGACAACAATGAGGTCTTGGATATTCTCCTCTCTTTTCTCCTGAAAACAGACTCTTTCATGGATTATATTTCTGCAGGGGAAGAAATCTTTATTAAACTTTCCCATAACAATAGAAAATCATCATGGTTCTCCTCTTGAGCAAAGTGAAAGAGTGATAAATCCTCTCTGCTTCATTGCCCATAGCATAAATCAGGCAGCTCAAATGCACTGGTCTGTCATCTTTATCCAGTTTCGTGGCTATTCTGTAGCATTCAAACCTCCGTTTCCAATCAGTTCATTTTGTCAGCTTTTCAAAGGAAAAGTTCTCCGGCAGGTTAAACTTTGCCATACCTTTGCTACTTTTCACAAGGTGATGTAGCTGTCTGAGTCACTTCTGACACCATGTAAGAATAATAACAATAATAATAATGCTTTATTGTACTCCATCCATCCACCCCCCCCCCCCCCCCCCCCCTCCCTTTTTTTTCTCCCCTTTTCCTTCTAGGGGGGGGGGGGGGGGCGGGGTGGATGGATGGAGTACAATAAAGCATTATTATTATTATTGTTATTATTCTTACATGGTGTCAGAAGTGACTCAGACAGCTACATCACCTTGTGAAAAGTAGCAAAGGTATGGCAAAGTTTAACCTGCCGGAGAACTTTTCCTTT